ACTTGAAGTAAAATTCTCTTTATGATGGTAACTGCCATAAAGAGTACCTTCATGAAGATTGAAAACAAAGGTCTACTTACTTTCTCAAAATACAAAATCTAAAAAGTACAACACAGAACATATGCATCATGTATTTAACGTCTAGTTTACTTTGTGCTAGCAATTGTTCAAAATTTGCCCTATTTATCCCTCCTGCCTCTCCATTTTTTTTGTTCTTTCCCATATCTTTATCTCATTATTCTCCCTAGCAAACACTAGGTGAATTCCCTGGAATCTTATACAGGTATTACCTCTTTTCCTAATCCCATTCAACCCAGTACTCTAAATACCAATGAATAATTATCACTGTTACCTTTGTTCTCCCAGGCTTCTGACATGTGAAACAACTTACCTGATGGCACTTGTTTTGGTTATCTAGTGCCGCTCTGACAGGAATATACCACAAATGCGATGGCTTTAACAAACAGGAGTTTATTCTCTTACATTTTTGGAGGTTAGAGGTCTAAGTTTAAGGTGAAAGCCCCTTGTCCTTGGGCTTCAGCTTTGCCTCCTGTTCTTAGCCCACTGAAGCTGGAGGCTTTTCTTCACTCAGGCAGCTGCTGGCTACTGAGGCCGACAAACCCAAGGTTGACAAGTGAAAAGGCACAGTCCCGATATCACCAAACAACATGGCACCACTAATTCAAGTCCAAAAAAATTCCCAAGATCTGCAGGGCATGGCAGGCTGCTGAACAACAACTTGGCTACATGCAGGGTTCAAGTGTGCCAAAAAGCTGGAGACCATCCTCAAAGCTGTTTCTTATATACTGGAAGCCAACCACATCCCCAAAACAGCTAGTCAGCTGCTCCAGAAGATTCCACCATGGTATTGATTGCCAATCTCACCCAGCTGCCCAGCCACTCAACCAGGCCCAGCCAAGTTGACAACAACCTTAACTACCACCGTACTTTAAAGTTTTTACCCAGTAACCACGTCCACTGTGGATTCTATGACAGATACTACTTTTCATATTACTTGGTTTTAAAGGTACGTGGCCAATTTTACCCTCAAAATTAAAAACCTCTTCATCAGCCTTCTTAAGTTAACCACAAGAAGGAAGTCAAATCTTAGATAGAGCCCTAGAGTCTCTAGCTGAGAGAAGAGGCAAAATATATAGACAAGTACTACAAAGTTGTTTTAAAAATTAACTTCTGGCTGAGTACTACTACTCAGTCTTAAAGAAAAATGAAGTCCTGATTCAAACTACAACATGGAAAACGTTGAAAACATTATGCTGCATAAAATGTCTGTCACAAAAGAATATCATGCATGATCCTACTTACATAAAGTATCTACATGAGGCAAATGTATACAGATCAAAGTTCATTAGTGGTTACCAGGGCAAAAAGAAGGAGGAAAGGAAGTCTTTGAGATTCCTGTTAATGGTGATGGAAAAATTTGGAAATGGACAGTGGTGATGGACACACACACACACACACAACTAACCTTCAGTATACTTTCTTACTTGCTATGTCAGGTTATCAATACATGTTTACTAGTGGTGACAGTGGGAGCTGTGGTGGTGTAGTGTCTAAATCATTTGACTGCTAACCAGAAGTCTGGCAGTTCAAACCCACCAGCCACTCATGAGAAGGAAGATTGGGCAAGCTACTTCTGTAGTGATATAGCCTCAGAAATCCAAAGAGGGGTCGCTATGCATTGGAAACAACTTGATGGCAGTGAGTTTTTTTTTTTTTTTGGTTTGAGTGGTGATAGTGATATCCTCTTGCCCACAAATGTTCCAAAGGGACTATGGTTAGAGAAGTGAGATTCTGTATAAACTGGCAGTCTAGAGGATAAATGCAGAAAACACATTGGCAAAACATGACAATAAATCGAGCAGTTAAAACACACACACACACACACACACGCAGGAAAAGAAATGGAGATATGGCTACTTGTTTATGTGAGTATTATCTTCCCTCACCAAAAAGATGGGAGCCAATCTTAAACTTCATACTTCAAAAACTTTCCATTAACCAAGGAATTAGCAAAACACTGGGTTGAGGGTAGGGAAGAAACAAATAGTATCATTTGGACATTTACATATAAATAATATTAGAGTTGATAACATGCTTCACATAGACACAAGAAGGCATTCAAAATGTTTACAAATGGTATGGCACAGGCACTAATCATTCAGAAAGGACACTAAAAAAACTCAAACCCACTGCCATGGAGTTGATTCCAACTCATAGCGATCCCCACTGGGTTTCTGAGCTGGTAAATCTTTATGGAAATAGATAGCCCAGTCTTCCTTCCACAGAGTGGCTGGTGGGGTTGAACCGCAAGCCTCTGGTTAGCAATCACATGCCTAGGCAATACACCGCCAGAGCGCCTTAGAAAAGACACCAGCTAGTAAGTTTTACTCAATCTGCCTCTAGGACATCATCCACATAAATTCCATGAAGAAAAAACCCTGACTCTTCATATCAAAGATTCTTGTTTGTTCACCATTTTTCACTTTAAATGAATTTTACATTATGGGTAGAGACAGAGGTATACGTGGTATTCACGCAAAGATTAGGGGCTGCCAAGGAAGAAAATAATCCACAAAAACCAATATACAAAACTAGTATGGCCAGTGCCTTGGGCTATGTACAGACCAGCCTGGAATCTTAATGAAGGTGCATAGCTGAATACAACTTGTAGGAGACAGAGCAACCTTTTGTAGATGGTATTTACTTTTCAAACTGTGTATCACTATTGTCATGTGCCATCAAGTTGATTCTGACTCACAGTAACCCTAAAGAACAGAGTAGACCTGCCCCATACATATGCTAGGCTGTGATCTTTATGAGAGCAGATTGCCAGGTCTTTTCTGCCACGGAACAGCTGGTGGATTCAAACCACCTACACCTTTTGGTTAGCAGCTGAACACTTAACCATTGTGCTACCAGGGCTCCTTACATCAAGTACAGAGGAGTGTAAACAAATTCTGAGTATTTACTTTATGGGAAGAAAACTACAAGACCCACTTGCATGAAATATCCAGAACAGGCAAATGCAGAGAGACCAAAGTAGATTATTAGGTACCAGGAGCTGGGGGAAGGAAGCAATGGAAAGTTACTGCTTAATTTACACTGAGTTTCTGTTTGGGTGATAAAAAGTTTTGGAAACAGATAATGATAATGGTTATATAATGTGAATGTAATTAATGTCACTGAATTGTACACTTAAAAATGGTTAAAATGGCACATTCTACTTGTATATATTTTATAATAAAAATTTTTTTAATTGGAAAAAAATTAACCCATAAAGTATGCAGATCTTAAAAAAATATAATAAAGGAAAGGCTACTATGGGGTTGATTCTTAGTTCCAAAATGTAATAATTTGTTTTTCATTCATGGGAATTGCCACTGGATTCTCTAATTTTGGATGTGGAAAATTGGGTAGGTATTCTGCCTAACGGTGATGAAAGCATAATACTAGAGTCTACTGGGTAATAAGGATTTCTAAATGCCTAATTTACAATAAGGGAGCCTCCTTTATTGTATACAGGTAAACAAATTACCTAAATAGAAATGAAATCAAAGGGAAATCATTGCAAGTTTTCTCCAACAACCAAGATGAAGATGCAATAAGTCAGGATTCTTCATACTTGTATCTGAGACTGTACAAAAGGAGGCAAAGTTACTTTTACAGAATAAAGGAAGAACTGAGAACAGCAGTAAAATGTTAACAATAGTGCTCTAAGGCTCCCTAAGGCTCTTGATGAGAGGATTTCTGAGCTGTCAGGCAGTAAAACTTGGCTCAAGGACAACATAATGTACATTTGCCAACTGTTTGAACTACAAATCTTGTAACAATGTTATACCTCAAACTAACAGTGTAAATGGGATTGAAAGTAAAGCTACATCACTCAATATTTTTCCACAGTGCATTTAACAGAGGCAGAACAGGACAGTGGTTAATAGGGTCTCTGGCTGAGTTAAAACACATGGGTCTGTCCATTACTAGCTATATTTTCTTTGACATGCTACTTTCTTTCTTTGGCTTTCAGTTAATTTGTTTTGAGTACATTTAGGGGTTTATCAGTTGCTGCAATGTGCCATGTTTTTTTTTGTGCTCAAATTCTCTTAAGTTCATACTAAGCCTTCACTTTACCCATTATTACCAATGGTAACTGGGGTGGTGGGCAGAGATGGGAATGGGGAGGGAGTGCTCACTAAGTGTACTTTACCATTTCTTTAAGTTGGATGTATGCTGACTCCACACCAAAAACCAAACTCTTTGCCACAGAGTAGATTCCGATTCATAGCAATCCCCACTGGGTTTCCCAGACTATATAAATCTTTATAGAAGTAGACTGCTTCATTCTTCTCCCGTGGAGTAGCTGTTGGGTTCGAACCACCTACCTCTCAGTGAGCAGCTGAATGCCTTAACCAGTATGCCACCAGAGCTCCTTGTATGCTGACTCAGAGGTCAAGCAAAGAAACCCACTTCCAAGGTAAGACTTTCTTTATGTACTGTCGTGGGTGCTTGGCTTTTACCACTGGATCACTTTCAGGCTATGAGGAACTTCTAGGATGCACTACAGTGAGAATGAACTTAGTAACCAAAGCTTTTTCAATTTCCTTGAGAAGGCTGCCATGTAAAAGAAAAATTAAACAAAAGATCAAGACTACTATAAAAAGAGATGTTTTTCAGCATGGAGGACTTTTAACCTTTTTAAAGTATATTTAATAAAAGGCTTATGAATTTGATAAAGACTCCAAGTCCTGGTTTTTTCCAAGAAGTTAAGAAAAGGTAGTGTGGACAAATGAAGGGCATTATCTTGTCCAAACGCAGCCTCTGAGGATGTGTAAAACTTCCTGTTAAATGATAATTTCAGTAATTATTATGCAAACAGCACCAGTACATTTAATAAGAGGTGGATGATAGTGAATTAGCTTTATTTATTTCAGGAATAATGTACTTTTTACCACACCATTCAGACACAAGGCTGCTTTGCTTACCACTTCTGTTGATGTTTCTGCGTGTTCAGAAGTAACATGCTCTTGAAGTGATGTCTCCGTATAGCCCATTTTTCCACAATAGGGACAAGTAAAAGACTGTGGCTGCTCTACAGAGAAAGCTTCCCCACCATAATACAAATCTGAAAAATAAGGTGAAAGTGTGTTGAAAAAATTATTTTTTAATATATAAAAACTTGATTACATGGTTAATAATGTAAAACACAAAACAAAACAAAAGTGTGCCTGAAATCTCCACCAATAATCACACTTTGTCGAGGACCTCTGTCACCCAAGAATTCTAGGGCACTGTCCAAAATCCTATCCCCAAACAGCTACAAAGGCAACAGGTTTTTCCCCGTCTTTTTATTCTTAAGCATCTCTCATTACACATCTGGTTATAATTTTATTATAATTTAGTTTTTCCTTCATGTCTGTATATACTGTGACAACACTGATATTACCAAAGAGAACCAGTAAGATATATCATTGTTGTTATGTGCCGTCAAGTCGGACCCGACTCATAGCGACCCCTCCTTGGGTTTCCGAGGCAGTATCACTATGGAAGTAGGATTGCCCAACCTTCCTTCTGAGGAGTGGCTGGTGGGTTTGAACCGCCAGTCTTCTGGTTAGCAGTCAAGTGCCTTAGGCACTATGCTACCAGAGCTCCCAAAGGTATATCATATCATACATAAACACAAGTGCTCAAAGCCAAAGAGCAGACGACTACTGTGACCAACTCCCAAACTGCAATTATTTGTCTATAAAACATATCCTTCATACAGAAGGAAAGGCCCCAAGCATTCAGCTGCTGTAGATGTTAACCCTGAATGGGATACAACCACAACATACTGTGCCCAATTTGGTAAATAAAGAAAAGACTAGATAGTGTCATGAGCTGTTTGTCTCATTAGTACATCTCAGGAAATAAATCTATTTTTCTCAATTAGTAACTCAAAAAGAAATAAAATTGAAAGTATATGTAGTATGCTATGCTGCTACATCACAAAAAACTACCTGAATATTTAACATGAAACAAATACTAAATATAAGTAGACATTAGTCCTTTTGTGAAAAAGGAAAATGGAAGCAAGTGTATACTACATGATAAGACTTGTTCATACTCATTTTTGGGGAGATTTGAACTATCTTAAAAGTTTTATCTGCTACACACCTATTGACTATTATATGCAAAAGATTTGCCAGGTGGTTTTGAGACAGGTAGAGATAAATGTATAATAACGATAGAAATGCTTCATTCTCATAAAAGGCATCTACAAAAACCTAATACCTAAGATCATATTAATGAAAGACTAAATGTTTTTCTCCTAATATCAGGAACAAGATGATCCCTGGTCTTGCTATTTGTATTCATTTTTGTACAAGAGCACCTCATCAGAACAATCAGGCAGGAAAATAAAATAAAAGGCATCCAGAAAGAAAGAAGTAAAACTATCTTTACTGGCAGATGACATGATCTTCTGTAAGGAATCCATTAACTATTATAGATAAATACTGTATAATCCCACTTGATAGCTACATAACCTGATGAGCACATTTAATGTCACTGAATTGTGTAAGTAAAAAATGCTAAACTGGCAAAAGTTTTGTTTTATATATAATTACCAAAATAAACAACTACTAGAACAAAACATGAGCTTAAGCAAGGTTGTAATACTAAGATCAATAAACCAAAATCAACTGTATTTCTATAAACATGCAATGAACAACAAGAAAATTTCATTTATAACCTCATCAGAAAGAATAAAGTATTCAAAAAGACATTTAATAAAGGAAGTACAGAACTTCTATTCTGAAAATTACAAATCACAGTTTAAAGAAATTGAAGATAGTGCCTAAGGCATCTGACTGCTAACCAAAAGGTTGGCAGTTGAAACCCACCAGCCACTCCTTGGAAGGAAGGTTGGGCAATCTACCTCTACGGTGATAATGCCTCAGAAACCCAAAGAGGGGTCACTATGTCTGACTTGACAGCACATAACAACAATACATAGATAGAAACACATCCCATGTTAAAGGATCAGACAATATTGTTAAGATGGCAATGTTCCCCAAAATGCATCTATCAAACTACAAGTTGGCTTCTTCACAGGAATTGACAAACATGGAAATTCAAAGGTCTCAGAATATTCAAAACAATCTTGAAAAAGAACAAAGTTGGAGGACTTGCATTCTATTTCAAAACTTACTACAAAGAAAGCTATAGTAATTAAAGACAGTGTGGTACTGTCATATAGGTAAACAAACAGGTCAACAGAATAGAATTGAAAATCCTGGAAAAAAACCAGAAAACGCCTCATATCTATGGCCAACTGATTTTCAACAAGGGTGTCAAGACAATTTATTTTGGAAAGAATAGTCTTTTCAACAAATCGTGTTGGGGCAACGCAATATCCACATCAAAAGAATGAAGTTGGACCCCTATCACACTATATACAAAAACTAATTCAAAATGGATCAAAGACCCAAATGTAAGAGCTAAAACTATAAAACTGAGAAGAAAATGTAAATCTGTCCTTGAAGTAGACCAAAATATACCACTCCACATCATTCAGCATAGCTATTATAAACAAACAAACACCTGGAAAATAACATCTTTGTTGACAAAGATGTAGAGAACTTACAACCCTCATAAACTGATGATAGGAATGTAAAATGGTGCAGCTGCTTTGGAAAACAGTCTGGTACTTCCTGAAATGATTAAACATGGAGATACCCATCAATTGCAGCAATATACCTGATAGAAATGAAAACATTTTCATGGAAAAACTTGTACACAAATCATCATAGCAGCATTATTCATAACAGCCAAAAGGTAGAAACAACCCAAATGTCTATCAACAGACAAATGGATAAACAAAATATAGTATATCCACACAATGGCATATCTGGATACAAAAATGGAATGAAGTACCAATACATGCTTTACAACTTGGATGAAGCTTGAAAACATTATATTAAGTAAATAAAGCCAGTCAGAAATGACCACACATTTAATGATTCCATTCTTATGAAACTTCCAGAATATACAAATCTATAAAGACAGCCTAAGGCTGAGGGGTGATGGGGATATAAGGGTTTGGAGTTTCTTTTTGAGGTGATGAAATTGTTCTAAACTTAATTGTGGTAATAGTTGCACACATCTAAATATATTAAAAATTACTGCATTGTCTCTTTCACATGAATGAATTGCATGGGATGTGAATTATATCTCAATAATCTGTTTTAAAAAGAGAAAGAATGGTGAGCAATTGATATTGCGAAATATGCAGGTAAATACCACTGGGTAAAACAACACGAATATTATCAAATTACAGCAAATGTAGAGAATGACATACAAGAAGTAAGTTTAGATGGATTATTAAGTTAAAGTTTTTTAATGCTCTTATTTGCTCATGAGCAAGACTATGATTACTTTAGGCTTAGTAAGTATACATGAAGATAGATAGAGTGATAGGAAAAAAAATGGAAAAAGACAAACCTGGACAAATACAAAGTACACTAAAACAGCATAAATCAATCCAACTATATCATTTATTCCTATGAATATAAATTGACTGCATTCTCCAGTTAAAATACAGACATTAACAGGCTAGATTATAAATTAAATCTAGCTATATGCTTTTCAAAAACTTAATTTTGAGACAACTTTAGATTAGAGAGTTCCAAAAATAGCATTCTTCTAGCACAGCCTTCATTTAGCTTTCTCTAATGTTAACATCTTAAGCAACCACAGAACAATGATCAAAATTAAGAAATGAACATTGGTACCACATTATTAATGAAATTATACACTTAATCAGCTCTGCTCAGTTTTTCCACTAATGTTGTTGTTGTATTTCAGGATCAAGTCAAGCACTCCATACTGTATTTGGTTGTCATGTCATCTTAGTCTCCTCCAGTCTGTAAAAGTTCCTCAATCTTTCCATGGTCTTTAGACTTTTGAAGAGTAAACAAAAAACCAAACTCACTGCCACTGAGTCAATTCTGACTCACAGCAACTCCACCGGGTTTCTGAGGCGGTAAATCTTTATGGGGGAGCTCTGGTGGCATAGTGCCTAAGGCATCTGACTGCTAACCTACCAGTCCCTCCTCGGAAGGAAGACTGGGCAATCTACCTCCATAGACATACTGTCTTGGAAACCCAAGGAAGGTTTGCTATGAGTCAGATTCGACTTGATGGCAGTGAGTTTGGTTTTCTGAAATCTTTATGGAAGTAGACAGCCCCATCTTCCTTCTGTGGAGCGGCTGGTTAGCAGTCAAATGCCTTAGGCACTGCATCACCAGAGCTCCTTTTTTGAAGAGTAGTAGTCAGTTATTATATAGAGTGTCCCTTGATTTGGGCTTCTCTGATGTGTCTCCTGATTAAATTGAAGTTAGCATTACTGGGAAGAATACCAGAGGTGCTATGCCCTTCTCAGTGCATCCATCATATCATCCTGGCATCCATCATATGCCAGGTACATGATGTTAATTTGATAAATTTTATTACTGGTGATGTTAATCTTGATCTCTTGATTAAAATAGTGTTGGTTTCTTGGCTATTAAGTTACTACTTTTCCCTTCATAATTACTAAATTACTGGAAAATGTTATGAATAGCCCTGAAACAGTATCTGATATAGTGCCAGAAGATGAGCCCTTAAGGTTGGAGGGCAATCAAAATATTATTGGGGAAAAGATGCCTCCTCAAAAGAAAGCTGACTTTAATGATGTAGATGTAAAACTTTGGGACCTCCATTTGGTGATGGAGCATGATTCAAAATGGGAAGAAACAGCTGCAAGCATCCATTCATTATCAGAACATGGAATGTACAAAGTATGAATCTAGCAAAATTGGAAGTTGTTGAAAAATGAACTGGAATGCATAAAGTTCGATATCCTAGGTATTAGTTAGCTGAAATGGACTGGTTTTGGCCATTTGAATCAGACAACCATATGATCTACTATGCTGGGAATGCCAAATTGAAGAGAAATAGTGTCACATTCATCATCAAAAACAATGTTTCAAGATCTATCCCGAAGTACAATGCTGTAAGTGATAGGATAATATACATATGCCTCCACGGAAGACAAATTAATACTACTATTACTCAAATTTACACGCCAACCACCAAAGCCAA